ATAAACAGACCAATCACGAGTAATGAAATTGAAACTGTAATTAAAGATCTTCCAACAAAGTGCAGGACCAGATGGCTTCACAGGTGAATTCTATCAAACATTTAGAGAAGAGCTAACACCTATCCTTCTCAAACTCTTCCAAAAAATTGCAGAACGAGGAGCACTCCCAAGCTCATTCTACGAGGCCACCATCACCCTGATACCAAAACTAAAAAAATCACAAAGAAAGAAAATTACAGGCCAATATCACTGATGAATATAGATGCAAAATTCCTCAACAAAATATTAGCAAACAGAATCCAACAACACATTCAAAGGATCATACACCATGCTCAAGTGGGATTTATCCCAGGGAAGCAAGGATTCTTCAATATATGCAAATCAACCAATATGATACACCATATTAACAAATTAAAGAATAAAAACCATATGATCATCTCAATAGATGTAGAAAAAGCTTTTGACAAAATTCAACACCCATTTATGATAAAAACTCTCCAGAAAGTTGACATAGAGGGAACCTATCTGAAAGTAATAAAGGCTGTATACGACAAACCCACAGCAAACATCATTCTCAATGGTGAAAAACTGAAAGCATTTCCTTGAAGATCAGGAACAAGACAAGGATGTCCACTCTCGCCACTCTTATTCAACATAGTTTTGGAGTCTTAGGCATGGCAATCAGAAAAGAAATAAAAGGACTACAAATTGGAAAAAAAGAAGTTAAACTGTCATTGTTTGCAAATGACATGATACCATACATAGAATATCCTAAAGATGACACCAGAAAGCTGCTAGAGCTAATCAATGAATTTGGTAAAGTTGCAGCATACAAAATTAATGCACAGGAATCTCTTCCATTCCTCTACACTAACAACAAAATATCACAAAGAGAATTTAAGGAAACAATCCCATTTACCATCGCAATAAAAACAATAAAATACCTAGGAATAAACCTACCTAAGGAGGCAAAAGACCTGTACACAGAAAACTATAAAACACTGATAAAAGAAATCAAAGATGACACAAACAGGTGGAGAAATATACCATGTTCTTGGATTGGAAGAATCAATATTTTGAAAATGACTATACTACCCAAAGGAATCTACAGATTCAATGCAATCCCTTTCAAATTACCAATGGCATTCTTCACAGAATTAGAACAAAAAAATTACAGTTTGTATGGAAACACAAAAGACCCCAAATAGGCAAATAAATCTTGAGAAAGAAAAGTGGAGCTGGAGGAATCAGGCTACCTGACTTCAAATTATACTACAAAGCTACAGTAATCAAAACAGTATGGTACTGGCACAAAAACAGAAATAGAGATCTGGATAGAAAGCCTAGAGAATAACCCATGCACCTGTGGTCACCTAATCTATGACAAAAGAGACAAGAGTATACAATGGAGAAAAGACAGTCTCTTCAATAAGTGGTGCTGGGAAAACTGGACAGCCACATGTAAAAGAATGAAATTATAACACTCCCTAACACCATACATAAAAATAAACTCAAAACTGATTAAACACCTAAATGTAAGATTGGACACTTTAAAACTGTTAGAGGGAAACATAAGAAAAACACTCTTTGACAAAAATCACAGGAAGATCTTTTTTGACCCACCTCCTAGAGTAAAGAAAATAAAAACAAAAATAAACAAATGTGACTTAATTAAACTTAAAAGCAAAGGAAACCATAAACGAGATGAAAAGACAACCCTCAGAGTGGGAGAAAATATTTGTAAATGAAGCAATGGGCAAAGGATTAATCTCCAAAATATACAAACAGCTCATGCAGCTCAATATCAAAAAAACAAACAACCCAATCAAAAAATGGGCCGAAGACCTAAATAGACATCTCTCCAAAGAAGACATACAGATGGCCAAGAGGCACATGAAAAGATGCTCAGCATCACTAATTATTAGAGAAATGCAAATCAAAACTACAATGAGGTATCACCTCACACTGGTCAGAATGACCATCATCAAAAAATCTACAAACAATAAATGTTGGAGAGGGTGTGGAGAAAAAGGAACCCTCTTGCCCTCTTGGTGGGAATGTAAATTGATACAGCCACTGTGGAGAACAGTATGATGGTTCCTTTAAAAACTAAAAATAGAACTACCATATGACCCAGCAATCCCACTACTGGGATATACCCTGAGTAAACCATAATTCAAAAGGACACATGTTCATTGGAGCACTATTTACAATAGCCAGGAGATGGAAACAACCTAAATGTCCATCGACAGATGAATGGATAAAGAAGACGTGGTACATATATACAATGTAATATTACTCAGTCATACATAAAAAGGAACGAAATTGGGTCATTTGTAGAGGTGTGGATGGACCTAGAGTCTGTCACAGAGTGAAGTGGGTCAGAAAGAGAAAAACAAACATTGTATATTAACTAATATATTTAGAATCTAGAAAAATGGTGCAGATGAACCTATTTGTGGTCAAGAATAGAGGTGCAGACGTAAGAACCGGTGGGTGGACATGGGGGGAAGGGGAGTGTGGGATGAACTGGCAGATTAGGATTGACATATATACACTACCATGTGTAAAATAGATAGCTAATGGGAACCTGCTGTAAAGCACAGGAAGCCCAGCTCGGTGCTCTGTGATGACCTAGATGGGTAGGATGGTGGTGGGAGGGAGGGAGGTCCAAGAGGGAAGGGATATATTTATACATATAGCTGATTCACTTCATTGTACAGCAGAAACTAACACAACATTGTAAGGCAGTTATACTCCAATTAAAAAAAGTCATACAACTGGATGAGACTAACCAGGGAGTGATTGTTTAAAGAGAAGAACATAGGACTGGTCTTCAGCTCACCAATATTAGACATATAGAAAAAGAGTAGGAAGAATCAACAACATCTGAAAAGGAAAAGCAGAAAGATGTGTGGTGTCAAGCAAGTCAAAATTAGAAAATGTTTGGGCTTCCCTGGTGGCGCAGTAGTTGAGAGTCTGCCTGCCGATGCAGGGGACACGGGTTCGTGCCCCGGTCCGGGAAGATCCCACGTGCTGCGGAGCGGCTGGGCCCGTGAGCCATGGCCGCTGAGCCCGTGCGTCCGGAGCCTGTGCTCGGCAATGGGAGAGGCCACAACGGTGAGAGGCTCGCGTACCGCAAAAAAAAAAAAAAAGGTTGAGAAAGATGAGGATAGAGAAATAAGTTTTGGAATAGCAACATGGAAGTTATTGGTAGCCTTGAACAGTTTTGGTAGAGTGATGTGTTCAGAAGCTGACTTTTGTGTAAAGTACAAGAGAAAATTCAGACAAGTATATACATCCTTTTAAGAAGCTTTTTTTTTTTTTTTTTTTTGATGTTGGGGAGTTGCTGAAAGGGGCAGAAACTGGAAGAAAATGTGAGGTCAAGGAAGGATTGTTTTGTTTTGTTTTTTTCCTTGAAAAATGGTAGACATGCTTGATATCTCCCTCTTTCTTTCCCACCCCTACTAAATTCGAACAATCACCAAGGTCTATTTATTTTACTTCATTAATTGCTCAAATCTATCCATTTCTCTCCATTATCATTGGCACTACCTTATCCAGCTTATCATTATCCCCCACATAGTCCTACAGAGTTATAACTGACCCTTTACCTTCACTATACTCCTCATTTAATCTCTTCTTCGCACTTCAGCCAGATATTTTCCAAAGGCAAATCTGATCAAGTCACCCCACCCTTCCACCCCATTCCCACTACATTATAAAGGACTTGCTATTGCTTTTAGGATGAAGACAAAGTCACATGACTTTTAAGGCCCTACATGTCTGCCCATGCATACTCTCCAGTTTCATCTCCACCTTTCCCTCTTGCTTTCTGTGCTTCTGCTACACTGTCCTAATCTGGCCACTAGGTTTTTGCACTTGATATTCTCTCTGACTAGAATATTCTTACTCCTACAACTCCCCTCCTCCACTACACTCTATCTAATAACTACTCCCATTTCTTCAGATGCCTAATTCAATCATCTCATCCTCAGAAAAGCCTTCCCTGACCTCTCTAACCAAGTTAATTCCCTTTCTTATATACTCACAGAGTAGCAGGTAGCTTTCCTTGATAACACTTTCCACAGTTGTAATTTTTCATTTTCTTGTGATTGTTTTATTAATACCTGTCTTCCTTGCTAGTGTTTAAGCTCCATGAGAGCAATGACAGTTCCATGAGTATAGTGGCTGTGCTTTTTTTCCCCTGCCACTGTATATACAACATCCGGTATAATGCATGGCGCATAGTAAGTACTCGGTAAATATTTGTTAAGTCAATTGAATTCAATAAATGAATGAATTTTAATTGTTAATACTGCAATAAGTAACATAATATGATCTCTTGAATTAATTTGGAAAATTTCTAGTACCTCGGAAAGAAGAAAAGGCAATCAGCATTATTTTTTAAATTGTTAAGTTTAGAATTACTATTAGAAACTACATTCCTTTATACTTAACTATCTTTGATCCGCTTTGATCAGTTTACTTGCTGCTTCATTATTTCTAACCTTCTCTCAAAATTACTTGTGGCTGCATGCATAAAGATCACAGGTACTCTTCCCTTGTAAGTCATTAGTTTCAATTCAGTTTCCTTCTACTTACTTTTGCCAGAGACATTATTAAATCTAAAATTGGCCACTGAGTTCCATTTCATTTAATTTCCTTTGCCATTAAAGGCAAATCTATGAAAAGACTAATTGACATTAAATCGATTAATTTTCTCACAACCAGAGTGAAGGTTATCAAAAACTGATGGTTAATCTTCAAACTGGAAATATTAACTCTGCGAAGAAGTAGCTTAATTTATGTTCTATGGACAAAATACGTGTAATGAAATCAGTAACATATGAAAAGGGAATATATAAGTTGATTTGTGCTTTTAAAAATAAATATATAATATATTCTGATTTTAAAACGTTTATGTAGAACTGTTGGAAACAGAATAATTTTGTTTTATAATTCATGTTTAATAATATTCTCTATAAAATATTTTTCAGAGAAATATTTCAAGATTCCAAATTTAAAACAATTGATGAGAGATGCAGACAAAGACCATCAAAGGCAAAGATTAAATCTCATTCTCAGTGTGTTTTTATTTCTCAAAATTTTCATACTGGAAATTTCCAATTACAGGTAGTGTGTAATATTTTATAGCAATGTTTTCAAATAATTTCTTTTGACACCATGTCATTAGCGTTGTTGTCTTTAAATTATTTAAATTATCCACTATTATTTTTAAATTTGAGGTACAATAACAAGGAGCTAAATTTAAATTACCCAAACTAGTTAGAGTTTATATTACAGGAAACTGAAAGACTAAATGAAAATGTCTCCTTCTACAGTTGCTTCTCTGTATCTCTAGCCTGAGAACCTGTATTCCCCATATTGGAATTGTTACAGGGATGAAGATAAATGGCATAAAAAACAAAGCAAAAATTGCCAAGCCTATCAGAAGAAAGAGATTTGGAGATAAGAGGATACTCAGATAACCAAATAACCTAACCAAACCAACTAATTGAAATTAAATACAAAATGCTAATTGAAATTAATAAGGGTTTATTAAGGCTTCATTACATTCTGAGCTCTGGGCCCTACCTATTGAGGATAGTAAGATACAAACCCTACTTTAAAAGTGCTAGTGTAGTACAAGTGGGAAAGGCAGACACATAATTAACTTTCTGTTATATGGCATCAAAATAGTTGTATGGACAATGTGAAACAAGGGAGACACCAGTAGAAATTTAAAACTATGATATAGCTAATCAATGCATTATTAAATTTTATATGTTTTGGACTCCACGTCTAATATAGTCTCCCCTTTTTCGATTACATTTCTGAGACTCATCCAGGTTGGTGCATATACCCATCATTCATCATTTTTTATTGTTATATCATATTCCATTGTATTAATATATCAAATTTTATGTTATGGACATTTGAGTTGTTTTCAGTTGGTTTTTTTAAAGGAAATTTCCACAGGGAATGTACCTAACAGTAGAATCACTGACTCATGGGATTTGTGCATGTTTAATATTATTAGGTAACTTCAAATTATTTTCCAAAGTAGTTTTGTCAATATACATTCCCCTCAGGCATGCATAATTGCTAGGATTGCTCCATATCAACAAATACTGATGTTTTTAAGCTCCTAAATTTTTAACAATCTGATGGATGTGTAATAGTATCTCACTGTAGTTTTTTCTTAATAGACTTAATTTTTTCAAGAAGTTTTAGGTTCACAACAAAATTGAGAAAAAAATAGAATTCTCATATACTCCTTGCCCCCATACAAGTGCAGCCTCCTCCACTATCAACATCGTGCACCAGAGTGGTACATTTGTTACAACTAATGAACCTACACTGACACATCATCACCTAAAGTCCATTGTTTACATTAGTATTCACTCTTGAATCCGACATTCTATGGCTTTTGACATATCTACATATAGAGAGAGAGAGACAGACAGACAGGCACACACACACATGCACACAGAGATTAAACAGGAACAAAGAGACAGAAAGACAGAGAGACAGAGATGTATGTACCATCATAGTATCAGACACAATAGTTTTACTACCCTAAAAATCTTCTTGTTCCATCCCTGTTCATCCTTCCCTCCAACCAGTGATTGTTTAGCTCTTTCCATAGTTTTGCCTTTTCCAGAATGTCATATAGTTGGAATCATACAGTATGTAGCCTTTTTGGGCTTCTTTCTCTTATTAATATGCATTTAAAGTTCTCTCTGTCTTTTTAAGGCTTGATAGCACATTTCTTTTTGGTGCTGAATAATATTCCATTGTATGGATCTACTTCAATTTATTTACCCACTCAGTTACTGAAGGACATCTTGGTTGCTTTCAAGTTTTGGCAATTATGAATAAAGCTGCTATAAACATTCATGTGCAGGTTTTTGTGTGGACATATATTTTCAACTCATTTGGGTAACTACCAAGAGCATGATTGCTGGATCAAATGGTAAGAGGTGTTTAATTCTGTTGCCAAACTGTCAAAGTTTTTTTTGGCTGCATTGGGTCTTGTTGCTGCGCACGGGCTTTCTCTAGTTGTAGCAAGCGGGGACTATGCTTCATTGCACTGCATGGGCTTCTCTTGTTGTGGAGCACAAGCTCTAGGCATGTGGGCTTCAGTAGTTGCAGCATGCGGGCTCAGTAGTTGTGGCATGCGGCCTCTAGAGCACACAGGGTTCAGTAGTTGTGGCACATGGACTCAGTAGTTGCAGCTCGCAGGCTGTAGAGCGCAGGCTCAGTAGTTGTGGCACACAGGCTTAGTTGCTCCACAGCATGTGGGATCTTCCCGGGCAAGGGATCAAACCCATGTCCCCTGCATTGGCAGGCAGATTCTTAACCACTGTGCCACCAGGAAAGTCCCACTCTACTTTTATTGACTTCTTTAATTTAAATTTATTAATTTAATTTGTTGAGGTGTTCTTTTATTTTAGTTCGTGGTTTTCAGTATAGAAGTCCTTCACATTTGTTTTAGTTTTATTTATAGTTATTTTTATGCTATGGTAAATAGTATTGATTTAAAAATTTTATTTCCCAACTGTTTGTTGTTAGTAAATATAAATACAATAGATTTATCTTATCTTATTCTGAATTACAGACCAAAAAGTTGCAGAAAAATTACAAAGATGTCCTGTATACCCATCACCCACTTCCCCCAATGACATCTTATATAAGTATACTTTATGAAAAGTATACTTTATTATAAGTATACATTATCAGAACCAGGAAATTTAGGCTACAGACCTAACTCAAAGATTACCAGTTTATGCATGTACTCACTTTTTGTTGTTTTTATATATAATTCTATGACATTTTATCATATGTATAGGTTTGTATAACCACCACGACAATCAACATACAGAAGAATTGTTCCATCACCATAAAGGAACTCCCTCATACTACCCTTTATAGTCACTCCCCCACTCCCTTTCCCTAACCTCTGGCAACCACTGATCTTTTCTCCATCGCTATAATTTCTTCATTTCTAGAATGTTATATAAATGGAATCATAGCATATGGCCTTTTGAGCTTGGCTTTTTTTCACTTAGCATAATGCCCTTAAGATCCCTCCATATCATTGCATGTATCAATAGTTTTTTTCCTTTTTTATTGCTGAGTAGTGTAACATTGTGTGGAGATATCACAGTTTGTTTAACCATTTATCCATTGAGGAGTATTTGGGTTGTTTCCATTTAGGAGCTATTACAAAATAAGGATGCCATGATCGTTTGTGTATAGGCTTTTTGGAAAACGTTAGTTTTAGTTTCACTAAAATAAATGCCCAGAAATGCAGTTCCTGGATCATGTGGTAAATATGTTTAATTTTTAAAGAAATTTCCAAATTGATTTCCAGATTGTACCATATTACATATCCACCAGTAACGTATAAGAGAATCATGTTTTTGCATCCTCTTTATCATTTGGTACTTAGCAGCATTTTAAAGTTTAGCCATTTAAATGTGTTTAGTGATTTTAATTTGCATTTCTTTAATGGGTAGTGATGTTGAACAGCTTTTCATATTTTTAATTTTCTGCCATCCATATATCTTCTTTGGTGAAGAGTCTCTTCAAGTCTCTTGTGCATTTTCTAATTGGATTATCTTTCTATTTAATTTAGAGAGTATATTCTGGATACAAGTCTTTTTGTCAGATATGTGATTTACTAATATTTTCTCCCATTTGATGACTTGTGTTTTCATCCTCTCAAAATGAAAAACAGCGTAAGTTTTAATTTTGGTAAAGTCCAATTTATCCATTTTACCTTTTTGTTTTGTTTTTATTGAAGATGGTTGAGTTACAATGTTGTATTAATCTGCTGTACAGCAAAGTGATTCATTTATACATATATAGACATTTTTTTAATATTCTTTTCCGTTAGTTTACCATAGCATATTGAATATAGTTCTCTGTGCTGTACAGTGGGACCTTGTTGTTAATCCATTCTACATATGAAAGCTTACATCTGCTAACCTCAACCTCTCACCCTACCCCTCCCCCAACCCCCTCCCCCTTGGTAACCACTAGTCTGTTCTCTATGTCTGTGATTCTGTTTCTGTTTCGTAGATAGGTTCATTTGTGTCATATTTTAGATTCCACATATAAGTGATATCATATGGTATTTGTCTTTCTCTTTCTGACTACTTCACTTAGTATGATAATCTATAGTTGCATCCATGTTGCTGTAAATGGCTTTATATTTTGTTCTTTTTTATGGCTGAGTAGTATTCCATTATATATATATATATATATATATATATATATATATATACCACATTTTCTTTATCTATTCATCTGTCAATGGACATTTAGGTTGTTTCCATGTCTTGGCTATTGTGAATAGTACTGCTATGAACATAGGGGTGCATGTATTTTTTTGAATTATAGTTTTGCCCAGATACATGCCCAGGAGTGGGATTGCTGGATCATATGGTAATTCTATTTTTAGTTTTCTGAGGAACCTCCATACTGTTCTCCATAGTGGCTTTACTGACTTACATTCCCACCAACAGTGTTGGAAGGTTCCCTTTTCTCCATACGCTCTCCAGCATTTGTTATTTGTAGATTTTTAAATGATGGCCATTCTGACTGGTGAGAGGTGGTACCTCATTGTAATTGATTTGCATTTCTCTAATATTAGCACTGTTGAACATCTTTCATGTTCCTATTAGCCATCTGTATTTCTTCTTTGGAGAAATGTCTGTTTAGGCCTTCTGCCCATTTTTCATTGGGTTGTTTGCTTCCTTGTTGTTGAGTTGTATATTTTTCCTTTTTGAATCATACTTTAAGTGTCATGTCCAATAACTCTTAGTCTAACCCTAGGTCACAAGGATTTGTTTCTAAGTTCTCTTCTAAAAGTTTCTTAGTTTTAGGTTGCTTTGTTTTATATTTAATAGCTTTATTGAGGTATAGTTCACATACCATACAATTTGCCTTTTTAAAGTATCTAATTCAGTAGCTTTTAGATAGATATTCACAGAGTTATAGAACCATCTTCACAATCAGTTTGGGACACCTTTATCACCTCAAAAAGAAACCCTGTACCTTTAGCAATCACTGCCCCTCCATTTTCCTCCAATCCTTCTAGGCCTAGACAACCACTAATCTATACT